AGAGACGACAGAGGGATTCTTTTTTAGCGATAAAGTCGCAAATCTGTATATTTTGGGGATTCAAGTGTTGACTAGATTAATGATGAAAATTTTCTTAACTTCACTCGACTTCAGACACAATTTTGTTTCGGGACTCGACGACATGGCTTATAGACATTTTCATTTATCCTCGATTGAGAATCAAAATGCAGATGTATTGCCAGCCCTGAGGCCTAAGACGGAACGCCTCGTTTCCAGAAAAAAGGGTCTCCTTTATTCTTATTCTTTTATTTTTATTCTTTATTGTATTCTGTGAGAGCGTAGTTCTACCCCGCCGAGGCGAACCGTTTGTGCTACAACTAATATAGCTGCAGCATGCTTCTACCATGTACAGCCTTAGACTTATGGAACACCAGCATTCACATACAGGCTTGGTCAAAGTTAGCAAAATTAGAGCACGCACCGTTAACTACGACCTTGATGCTCCTACCTGCGAGAAAACTGACCCATGTATAATTTTTGGGGAGACCATAAGATGGAAGCTTCGAAAGAAGCATCTGTGCTTCCCGTCTTGTGTTACCCGAAGGCGAAAGATCTATCGATGCTAGATCGAAGGCCACCACTATGTCTAAACTGACCGCCAAGATTCTCCATGTGAAGTAAACTAGAAGTTCAAGGAAACGTTTTTATCGTCGGCATCCCTTAGTCTATGGTAAAAATAATACGTTACCAAAATACCACTAGAACGATTGGGTATAATGACTTACGTTTTTACATTAACCTTAGCACCATGCAGTTGGCTCCTTCCAAAATCAGAATTGTATGTAATCGTTCTCGTTTTAAAAAAAATACTTTTATGAAATTATTACTATACTCGTATACCGGCAGTTATATGCAGACAAACACTTATTCCCTAGTAGTGTATTGCTAGTAGACCAAACAATTTTATTCTTTTATAATTTTTTTTAAATAGAGTGAAAGACTGCAGAAAATGCGAAAAATTGTTTGAAATGTTTGATTACCACTTACTGTATTATTAATTTTTAATCGAACATTTGTTTTTATAATCATCATAATATTGTAGTGCCGACCTGGTAAGATACCCAGGAAGTCGATGAATACAGGTATAATCACTACGTTTTTGATACACGTGGCTCAGTGCTGGGCTTTGAATTCCTTGGGGGAGAACGACTGTCATGATGATAATGATTAATTATGAAAGATGAAGTAGATGTATATTTTTTTTTCTTTAAAGATCGAAATGTGCACTTAAAAAAATATACATTTTATAAATATTGCTATTTCTTGTGTAATATTTTAAGCTCTCCTTATCTATGATGATCACTTAGTCAGAGTACTTGTGCTGACTAAACCACGAGCCCTTAGTTTGTGGTCCTCAGGTCTTCCGGGTCAAATCTGCCATGACAACATCAACGTTATCATCGGCCGCTGTACTTTATGAATTTGAATTATTTATAACTCAAAATTAATTTTCAGATTTAACTTATTCTCAGAATTAGTTTTAAAATTTTTCGAGTGATTCAGTTTTCGTTTTTTTTATTTGCTGATTTCGCAATCATCCTTTCCACCCTGCACTATAACCTGTTTATTTACATGTTTAGACAAAAAAAACCTTTGTAACCGAGTATATAGTGTTAATTTTACAGTGCCAATTTTACGATTTTCTACCGACTTCAAAAAGGAGCCGGTACTCAATTCGACTGTATGTTTTTTTTTTCGTTTTTTTTTATGTGTGTTACCTCAGAACTTTTTTCTGGGTGAACCGATTTCGATGATTCTTTTTTTATTTGAAAGCTGGTACTTCTCGTGTGGTCCCATATAAATTTGATTCAAGTTTGACCAGCAGTTTTTCAGTTATCCTTAATAATGCATATATAATTGACTTCGATTGCATTGACGGTATTCTCATCTGCCGATTTTTTTTTCTGGGTGAACCGATTTCGATGATTCTTTTTTTATTTGAAAGCTGGTACTTCTCGTGTGGTCCCGTATAAATTTGATCCAAGTTTTACCAGTACTTTTTGAGTTATCCTTAATAATGCATATATAATTGACTTCGATTGCATTGACGATGTTTTCATCTGCCGATTTTTTTTATTTTATACTTATATATACAAATGAAATAAATAAAATTATTCACAACCTAAATCCCAATACTAGTAGTGGAATAGACAAAATCAGCACAAAAGTCCTAAAATGTTTGCAAGATATAATCTCTGAAGGCCTGGCACATTCAATAAACAAACTTATGACTGACGGCGAATTTCCCGATACTTTGAAGGTTGCAAAAGTAACACCAATTTACAAATCCGGGCCCACAACTGACCCAGGAAACTATCGTCCTATTTCTGTACTACCAATATTGTCGAAAATCCTAGAAAAAGTAATACATAACCGATTATCAAGTTACCTGGATTCATTTAACTTTATATCTCCACGTCAGTACGGTTTTCGGTCAAAAAGCAATACAACTGCGGCAATAGTAGATTTAACAACAAAAATTAAAGAAAACCTGGATAAGAAAAGGATTGTTCTAGGCATTTACATCGACCTGAAAAAAGCCTTTGATACCGTAAGTCACCAGTTACTTTTAAAAAAGTTAGAGCACATTGGTATCACAGGTAGTGCCCTTAAAATGTTTGAGTCGTACCTAACAAATAGAGTACAGATAGTCAAAATAGATAATAACCAAAGCAATACCCAACCCATTACATATGGTGTCCCACAAGGGTCCATATTGGGACCGCTTCTTTTCCTTATCTATGTTAACAATATAACGGATTTAAGACTACACGGCCATTTAACTTTGTACGCAGACGATACATGCCTATTCTATTTCGGTACAAATATGGACGAAATCATCTCAAAAGCTCAAGAAGACCTTAACATGTTGTTTGAATGGTTTCAGTCCAACCTGTTAACAATCAACATCTTAAAAACATGCTATATTATCTACAAGTCGAAAAATAAAATAATTCCCCCGCATGCTCCTTTAACAATTGACAACATTCCACTCGAACAAAAAACTTGTGAAAAATATCTTGGTCTGAGAATGGATAGTAATTTAACATGGAACAAACAGATAGAATATATAAAAAAAGCCGGCCAAGAGCGTGTCGGGCCACGCTCAGTGTAGGGTTCCGTAGTTTCCCGTCCGTCACATTAAGTGTTCCCACTTATGAGTTTAAAGGTGGGTATCCATTATGTTCGCGCTCCAGCAGCGCTCCGCGCTCCTGCAACTGCTCTCGGTAGTGGGTACGTGCGCGAACATGGAGCGTGCAACATTGCACGCTCCGCGGCAGGCGCTCCGACTTTCCATCCAAGTTCAAAATAATTTTCCTAGAAAGTCCTTATAAAGTTCTACTTTTCAGATTTTTTTTCATATTTTCTAAACTTATGGTTAAAAATTTAGAGGGGGGGGACACATTGTTTTTTACTTTTGGAGCGATTATTTCCGAAATTATTGACATTATCAAAAAATGATCTTAGTAAACCCCTATTCATTTTTAAATACCTTTCCAACAATATATCACACGTTAGGGTTGAAATTAAAAAAAAATCACTTCCCACTTTACATATAGGGGGGTTACCTTAATATAACATTTTTTTTCCAATTTTTATTTTACCACTTTGTCGGCGTGATTGATACACATATTGGTACCAAATTTCAGCTTTCTAGTGCTAACGGTCACAGAGATTAAGCGAGGACGGACAGACGGACAGACAGACATGGCGAAACTATAAGGGTTCCTAGTTGACTACGGAACCCTAAAAAAGCAAATTATCGTCGCTAACGGGTTCACTCTGTAACATAAATCAATGTATACCTAGGAAACTACGTTTCAATATTTACAATTCACTTATCAAATCTCATATATTATATTTAATAGAAATATGGGGCAGTGCCGCCAAAACGAAATTGCAGGAACTACAAAGAGCTCAAAATAAAGCAATAAAAATACTTTTCTCCTACCCATACTTAACATCGACTCGTAAAATTTTTGATGACACAAAAATAATGAACATTCGACAACTTTATATATATAGCACTTGCATTCTAATTAGGAAGATCATGAGTAAAAACATCCAAACTAGTTTGTCCTTTACCAAAAAGTCACAAATATCCAAACGCAGTCTTCGTCGACCTAGCTTGCTCGTATTGCCAAAGACACGTACCAAATTAGGGAAAAAAAATATTACCTTTGAGGGAGCACACTTTTATAACAGCCTACCTTCTCATATTAAAAATATAGATTCCTATAACAAGTTCAAGTCTCAATTGCACAACTACATTCTTGAAAGCTACTGACTTGTAATTTCGGAGAGTGTCACGATGGAACTGTGAATACGGTGACCGTTACCTAGATTAAGTTTATATTATTGTTCTCATGTAAGTGGATTATGTAATCTTTTTGTGAGAATAAATTCTTTAAACCTAAACCTATATTTATTACTTGTCGGACGGTAAACGGAAAAACGGTAAAGGGTGGTTGAGAAGAGCATCGTATTTCGATTCATAGTATTTCGAGGTGGTCCCATTTTTATAATTTGGTGATGTCCGAATTAAGATCTTCGGCGAAATAAAACGGAACTATAACACTCGAAAGGGTACACACTAAAAAGCTAAAAACAAAATTATTTCTATGATACAACTTTTGATCTGACAATGAAGTTATTAGGCACCGGAACTCCGGAATAAAACATAGCATCCTAGCCATTGATAATGATTGATGATTTTAACGGTATATCTTTCATTCTAATTGCGCTACTTGAGGTGTACGAGTATTATGCGTGGTCTTCATTGTCGGAAGACAGATTTCGTAACCTCGTCATTTCTTTCAACGATTTGTCGTCGTGTGGTTTATTTAATAATTTGTTGGCGTCCAAATCTGATAAGGCTATGCCTTCCAAACTTTTAACACGACTTAGTGCCACATATATTTGCCCTTTTGCGAAGTTTTTCTTTCCAAGGTCAATCACAGCTCTTTCGAGGGTCGTACCCTGTAGTTTGTGAACTGTAACTGCCCAGCTTAATATTAGAGGCAGCATACGGCGCTCCACATCTCCGTAACCCCTTACTGCCTGAAATGTAGTACTTGATGGAGGTATGGGTACGCAACCATTACTATCTTTTAGCCTGCGACCGATAGTTTCGTCATCAAATTTAACGTACACGGCTTCTGGTAGCTCTCCATCCTCCAGTTGATCTCTCCTCAAGGCCGGCCATTTGATTTTTTTTATTATACCCATAGCTCCATTTACTAGCCCTTCAGAGACGGAGATATTGCGTCTCAACATCACTCGAGATTCGACGCTAATTCTTATCGATGGCAGAAGACCACCACAGTTATTGACGTCTTTGGGAATCACGTTCTCTGGTGGTTTTCTACCATATGTCGCTACTTCACGCGACTCATCTACTGCGTTGATTAAATAAGTTCGGTGCAGCTTTGCATTTTCCTTGGTTATTTTGTCGTTGTAATCGTCGACTTGCCTGACCGTGGGAAAGATACGAACGGCGACTCTATCCGCAAATTCACCATTTATAGGCACGTGGCGCCGCTCGCATAGTAATTTCAGCTGAGCCGTCGTCAGTTCACCTACCCGTAAGCTGTTCAATAAATCGATGAATTCGCTATCATTGCGCTGTCGCATGTTTATGGTCAGTTCACAAAAAGAAAACTGATGCCACAAATTGACCTCCACCGAAAACCACGATGGCTGCACAAAACACCAATTCCCTTTCACCGGAGGAAGCTGAAATATGTCACCAAATACTAAAATGTTGACTCCACCGAATAACTTCTCGTTGTTTTTGTATTCTTGGAGTCTTAGGTGAATTATTCTTAAGTTCTCATAGGAGACCATAGAAATTTTGTCTATGACTAGCCAATTTATATAGCGCCATTTACGCCTTTCAGTCTCGAGTCTTTGACCTGTAATTTTTTTGTATGTCATAGAATTTTTTTTTCAATCGGAAGCAAGAAAATACTATGTAGCGTTTTGCCAAAAAATTTGACGAGCGGCAACCCCGGTTAACGACCCAACTTCCACAAATTTAGACTTCAGCAGTATATCTACTGTTGGTGCGTAACAACGCTTAATGTGCTCCACGATTAATTTCAGCAGAAATGATTTACCACTGCCTGCACCGCCCGTGATAAAAAGTAACAGCTGGCTTTCTTGTCCATGCAAATCGTTTTCGATTGCCGTTGAAACTTTCTGAAATAATTCCTTCTGTTGGATATTTAATCCTCGAATGCTTCCTAGGAACAATTCATCTGATATGACGGCTCGTTCTTCCATGTCTTCACAAAAGTTATCATCGTCATGTAAAATTTTTTCACCAACACATAACATGGAAGCATTGCCTATATCGGTTTCACGCGCAGCATTAAGCGCGGTAGCTTGCGCAACAGCTTGTTGAATAATTAATTCGGCATGACCAATTTGTTCTGAACTGATGTCACCCTGCAACGGGCGAAGATCCCCTTTTCGTCTTATAAAACAGTCTTCAGCGGTTTCATTTTCGAAAAGTAATTCGCCTTCATTACGAAATGGTATATGGCATACTAATAAACTGTAATAATATGCTTCTTTGTCACTATTAATTGTATAATAGCGGGTACGTAACACTGCCGGTCTATTTCTTACACGCAATCTCGTATTGTCCTGCAATCTGATATACCTCTCTGGCGTAATATCTTCGTCTCTCAGTTCCGCATCCCCATTGTCCTCTGACCATGTCGTGTTAGAGACGGTTTCAAAACGGACGGCAAATTCCGCAAGGCTTAAATTCTCCAGCTCGTTTGGGCGTAATACATAACGATCAAAAATATTATTGTAAATACTGGTTTCATCACTATCAAATCTCAGGAGTCTGTAACGTTCCTCCGGCCTGCAACTATTCACAAAAACAGTCTTTCGCGACGACATTTTCAATGGCAAATGGCATAATCTGTAAGCGCATTCGGGCGCACTCACCAAGCGTTTATTTAAAATAGTCATTGATATTGAAAACAATTGTTTCCAAACATCACCACCACCAACCAAAGAGACAACTCTTAGCATTCGAAATAGCTTCTCGAATTACATCACCTGTGTCATGTGGTTCGCATTTACTGGCATATTTTGCGACGTAGGAGGCCACAGCGGTGACATTACCACACGGTTGCACGTCAATATTTCCCTTCCATAGATTTAAAAGAACTGCATTGTAATTGTTTACCATGGTTTCATTTGAGGTTCGTTTCAATATACAAAATCGTCCATTGTTAGCAAGTGCTTCATCTGGACCAAGACAAACGGTGTTAACACTTGCTGGCTTTGGAAAATCAAATCGACAACCATCAGTTTGGCGATTTTTTTTCCATGTCGCAGTGTGTTTATGAATCTGTAAATCCTCAACTAATTTGCGCAACACAAGGTCATTAGGAGTTAATGAACATGAAACCACCCTTTCAATTACAGCAACTTCTTCTGGAGTGGTGAAATTCGGAACATTACTACACCAGACTAACATATGCAGATGTGGGCTACCGCGGTTTTGAAACTCCACTCGGTACCAAAAATCTTCAATAAGACCACCCAAGCAATCTTTATTTCTCTTTAAGAATCGCATGAGAGCGTTAACACGTACTGTGAACTGTCGTGCTAACACTACCGGATGTTTTTGCACTAGGTTCAAGCGCTCCGGGAATGACAGGCGATCGACGTCATCGATATCACGTCCATCAGCGATAAACAAGGCTTTTATCATGTCTGGCCAATTTAAATCATTGCAAGAAAATGTTAAAAACCATGTGGGAGGCCCTAAAGTTCTAACCATGGCAATCAATTCAGAGCAACATTTCTGCCAATATGATGCCGATCCTCGAATATTTCTCATAGTGAGATGCATATTATCTACAAGTCCCTGTGGTGTTTGCTCTCCATGACCTTGTCGCATCCTACATGACACAGATACGCTTGATTTTGCACGAAAATATTCAACAATGGATAGAGCATAAAATAAATAATCATTTCTGTTGAACCTCTTGTCAATACTCATTACCCGGTTTTGAAAGTAATCAAGGGGGGTACACGCATTTTCTCTTTCCTCGCCAAAGCCATTCCTGCCATTTGGAAAAAGAAAATACCAACATAATTCCTCCATACGGCGTTCACGTTCCAAATTCAAGGGAGGTGCAGTTTTCCTTGTGATTGCGGCCAATCTCATTGTATCATCGGTTGAAGAGCTATTCATATTAACAACATTTTCTAAATTAGGTACGTTATCGTCTATATTTTGGAGCATACCTGTTGATTCGATATAAATGGTGCTTAAGAAGTTATGAACTGGTAATGGCAACTGAAAATGGGTTGATTTTACCGGAACTGTTTTTTGGATAGACTGAATGACTTGTGTTGTCACTTTTTTTTGGCGACACAAATAAATTGCGACGTAAAATAGCATGCAAATCATCCAGTTCAATAAGCGGTACCATTTATGGGAGCGGAAGCCCCCTTGGGACCCCTTGCATGGGAATCAAACAAAAAGTAAGTTTGATTGTCACCTAAAGTTCTGCAATGCACTGCTATCGATATGGCGTTTGGTGTAAGTATCCCATTGGAGTGTTCTCTGAAAAAACTTAATAATGCATTTTTTAAATTAGGAAATCCATCGGAAGTATTATCATTGTCTATGTGGCCATTATGATTGGTTTCCTCAAGTACTGTGATCACTAAATTTTGTCTATTATATATAAGTCTTGGACTAAGATCTGAAACAGCAAGGTACTCAGGATTTACTTCGCCGGGCGCAGGATTATCTCTAGCAGCGATGCAGTCATTACAGTATTTATCGCCAATAATTACAATGTAATCAATATCACTTTTGGCCCACTTGTTGGGATCTAATACACTAAATGCTGCACAAGCAACAGCCGCTATCCCAGTACATTGCTTACCCCGAGATAAATTAAATCGTAAATCACCTTGATTAAATGATCCGCGTAATATTGCCTTGTTGTCATTTAAAGTGATATAGACGATCGTGGATCACACCGAGGCGGTGAGCACGTTGCTCTTCCGTCTCGTTCGACAGACGATCGTGGATCACACCGAGGCGGTGAGCACGTTGCTCTTCCGTCTCGTTCGATAGACGATCGTGGATCACACCGAGGCGGTGAGCACGTTGCTCTTCCGTCTCGTTCGATAGACGATCGTGGATCATGCTAAGGCGGTGAGCACGTTGCTCTTGCGTCTCATTCGATAGACGATCGTGGATCATGCCAAGGCGGTGGGCACGTTGCTCTTGCGTCTCGTTCGATAGACGATCGTGGATCATGCTAAGGCGGTGAGCACGTTGCTCTTGCGTCTCATTTGATAGACGATCGTGGATCATGCCAAGGCGGTGGGCACGTTGCTCTTGCGTCTCATTCAATAGACGATTGTGGATCACGCCGAGGCGGTGGGCACGTTGTTCTTCCGTCTCATTCGATAGGCGATCGTGGATCAGGCCGAGACGGAGAGTACGTTTTTCGATATTTTCCCTGTACAAAACTTTTTTCATGTAAGCCCGCATTATTGAAAGCCTATTTTTGCGCTCTTCACAAGTCTCTTTTGAAATGTCAATTGAGGTAGATTTCCTCTTTTGAGATAGACGTTTCTCCCTTTCTTCGTTTGTCTCATTTAAACGGTGCTGTCTCATATGAGCAGCGCGTTTGCTAGGTCTACCCATTTTCAAACAAATAAAATCAGTTATCGAACTTCAGAATCACTAAAAATAGAAAAATAAACAAAAATTTTAACAAAATAGAATACCGACTTCAAAACAAAATGTTTTAAAACAATAAATGCACTAAAAATTTTAAAAATAATTGCGTATTCTTGTATCTACAACTTACAATCAACTTATTTTTTTCTACTCAATGTACGATCTATGCGTTTACCACGCAAGAAGGTAGGTACCGACTTAAACTTCACATCTAACTCAACACATATCTATGATTCACAAACAATTATCAAAATATTTTTTAGAGTTCAACTAAGCAAAAATTTTCAAATATATGTGTAGACTGCTTAAAAGATAATCAAATTATTAGGATAATATAATCTACAATTATTGTCATTTTTGGAGTCGGTGTCAGCCAAGGAAATACGACAATGTACCTAGCAATAATAATACGAGAATTCCTGGAAATACGCTTTAATACGAAAATATGGTGTGACAATACCTATGTAACAACATTAATACAATAAACAAAATACCAATAACCTAATTAATCCTATTTACAAATTAACTTAAATACAATGTGATGTGACAATACCTAAGTAACAACCTTAATACAACGAAATACCAAAAATAATTAACCTATTTCCAAATTAATTTTAATACAATAATATTCTGTGACAATACCTATCTAACAACCCTAATATAACAAAATAGGTACCAATGACATTACCTATCTAACAACCTTAATGCAACAAAACACCAATACCTAATTAAACCTATTCATAAATGAACATTAATACGACAATATGCTGTGATAGTACCTAATAACCTTATTACAAAAAACAAAATACCAATACCTAATTAAACCTATTTATAAATGAACATTAATATGACAAAATGCTGTGACAATACTTATCTGTTAACCTTAATACAATAAAATACCAATATATAATTAACCTATTTCCAAATTAACTTCAATACGACAATATGCTGTGACAATACCTTTCTAACAACCTTAATGCAACAAAATAACAATACTTAATTAAACCTACTTATAGACGAATATTAATACGACAATATGCTGTGACAATATCTAGCAACCTTTATACGAAAATGTAGCTTTAATAATAAACATAAGGAATTACAGTAAGAAAGACGGTGTAGAATGAAAAAGAATCGGAATCGGTTTATAATCAAGTAACTCGTATATGTTCTTTTTCTTGACTGGCGAATGGCCGGCGTACGCGTTTGGCTCGCTCACTTCTGTAGCCTTCCCACCCTCCTTCCCCGCGCCCGCGTCGATAAGCCCGCGCCGAGTGCTGCGTCTATGTGTGTAAATTGTGTATGCCAATTGTTATCTATGTAATGATTATAGTAAGACATCTCACGTTTAAGTAGTTAGAAATATACCTTGGCTGACACCGACTCCAAAAATGACAATAATTGTAGATTATATTATCCTAATAATTTGATTGTCTTTGAAGCAGTCTACACATATATTTGAAAATTTTTGCTTAGTTGAACTCTAAAAAATATTTTGATAATTGTTTGTGAATCATAGATATGTGTTGAGTTAGATGTGAAGTTTAAGTCGGTACCTACCTTCTTGCGTGGTAAACGCATAGATCGTACATTGAGTAGAAAAAATAAGTTGATTGTAAGTTGTAGATACAAGAATACGCAATTATTTTTAAAATTTTTAGTGCATTTATTGTTTTAAAACATTTTGTTTTGAAGTCGGTATTCTATTTTGTTAAAATTTTTGTTTATCTATTTAATAAATGTTAATTTTTACAAAAAAAAATGCCTTTTTAATATGTTTCATTAGAAATCTTCATGACTCAATTAAAATTCTTCAAAAAAAGGTTTTTAAGTACTGAATTTTTAAATAGAGAGAAAAAAGTTTTTGTTTTTACTAAGTAGGTCCTACAATACTACATACTTCAGGCACTTTCATACCGAAATATAATCAACACATGGATAGCGTAATTTTAACATTTTGATTTAACTTTTTATGAATTATTTTTGTAACGTAAGCACCACATACATAACATCAACAATTTGTAACCTACTTCGGACAATGAATGTTTGTATATGAAATTATAAGATAACCGATACACAATTGATGCAATTCGACAGCACGTCCCTCAGCCGCCCGCGGAACACGAACGCTATTAAAAGTTCCACTAACTCTGTGAAAGCTCTGACTAAACTAGTTTGTGTTAGAGAGTATTAGACCACTACCGGGTATTTACGTGTAGAAGTATATTATTTAATTGAAGCGATTGCAGTAAGATATCTCGAAACTCAATAATAATACTAAAAACTTGAAAATATAGATAAATGCTCATTTACGTTACTATTTTCCTTTTTTATGTTTTCGGCGGCTGAGACGTTCTGTAACTGTGTTATGTCTGCAGCACTATTCGGTCAGGTCGACAAGAATCACCATGTTAGATGCATTGTCATCATTGAGGACTAAGATGACCATGTTAGATGCATTGTCATCCTTGAGGACTAAGATGACCATGTTAGATGCATTGTCATCCTTGAGGACTAAGATGACCATGTTAGATGCATTGTCATCCTTGAGGACTAAGATGACCATGTTAGATGCATTGTCATCCTTGAGGACTAAGATGACCATGTTAGATGCATTGTCATCCTTGAGGACTAAGATGACCATGTTAGATGCATTGTCATCTTTGAGGACTAAGATGACCATGTTAGATGCATTGTCATCCTTGAGGACTAAGATGACCATGTTAAATGCATTTTCATCCTTGAGGACTAAGATGGATTGCCTCGTTAGCGCTATAAAAGGTATATACGGTGCTCAACACTCGCCATACTAAACACCAGCCTTATGCGGCTTTTTTTACAGTGTTATTTTCCCACTATACAATCGGTGATACTCTACCACTGTGTAAAGTGTAATGACAATTGCCGTCGGAGGTGTCGAAGGTGATTCATTTGCGTAACGATAATGACTAATATTCTAAGAACATCCCAAAGAATAAAATAACTTTAGAATAAAATATTATACGAATGGTGTCAAACATGACTTAGTCAAACATGTGCAACATTTTTATTCAAACATGTACAGCTCACCGAGATAAGCGTCGTGACGCAGAGGTTCAAATGCGGCTTCTCTGTGTTTTCTTTACCTTTACGATAATTTGGTGTGGGTGACTTTCCTTAGTATATCAACTTAATTTCCTAAAATAGTGAAATTATATATTTAATAACTCTTATGATTACTTTTATAAAAATTACTAAACAATCTCTAAATACTTTATTTGTAGTTGAAGCAGTTTTAAGTTCCACCCACTCATCATTAAGAAATAATCAAACTTTTTAAATTTAAAAAATTAACGATGATCTAATAAAAAAACTTTTTTTCGAACAATTTTGAGAAGAAGAACGATTACTCAGTGTAGCCCACATTTAACTCCTAAATTAATAAACTTTATGTCAGCTTTTGAAGAAGGTTGAAAGGAAGTTTAGTCTATATTATACCGTGTTAAGATTTATATATTTTATATATAATTTTAATACGCTAGTTTTAGTGTTTGACGGCTTGGTAGGGCAGTGGCTAAGGGTTTATCTTGACAGCCAAATTGTTAGTTGCAATGTAATTAGAAACTACCTTAGAATAGTATTTACGATTGTCACGCTACTTTTTCTAAAGCGTGTTTCCTGCTTACAATTTTTATATTGTTAAAATGTAGTATTAAATTAAATCTAACTAAAATGTTACATAGAAAAACTGAAACTAAAGTTTTGAGTTATTATACAGTCCTATACCCGTGGTATCGTACTAAGAACGCTAACTGCATTTCCTTGCTGAACTTACTGACTTAGCCTTTGAGTGAGAAAAAACAGCCCTCTTATTACTAGCACTGACGACCAGTCTCGGAGACAGTTACTTTCGGAACTTCATCGCACTTGAACCCCACGGACCGAGAAAAAATAAATATTCAGTAATCTCTCAGAGACTCATATTTACGCCACTTACGTAATTCAGCCTCCGCCGCTAATGCCACCCCGGCTCTAAACAAAGTACTCTTAAGATGAGAGGCCACCATAGTGTCTACGCAAGACGCACACCACACTAGGGCTTTACCTGTCTTCCAAGTAACCCAAGCCATACCGTCGGATCCTTTGCCATCGTCTCTAAATAATTCACATGTGTCTAAAACCGAGGGGACATGATGACATCCTTCAAAGAACCGTGACGGGAAAACCTACCACAACTTTTCTTACATGAAAGTCCGCGAAACCCAAACTCCTTGACTTTGCTGATGAGTTTGACAAAATGTCGCCCCTCGACTGATTCCTACGGCGATGCTTTCCCTATCAATCAATGTGCCGTGATTACTTTACGGTAAAGCTTGTAACCAGTTACAAGATTCCTTAGTCGAAACAGCTGGAGTCTGAGGAGCAGAATGGAGTCCCTGGCGGGCGGTATGCTGCATGACTCCATTCTGCTCCTCAGACATCCGGACAGTGATGGAAGGCGATGCACCTGTAATCATCGCCGGGGACCTGAACGCCAAACACCCGGCGTGGGGGTCCAGAGTGATCACCCCGCCGGGTCGTGAGCTATATGAAGACGCTGATAAGAACCAGTACGACGTTCTAGGTCCCGAGGAACCAACTCACGTTCCTACTGACCCAAGGAGGCATCCGGATGTATTAGACATCGTGCTCACTAGGAACGTCAACTATCCGATAGTGGTAGAAGTGCTGTACGACCTACCTTCACAGCACCTCCCGTTACTGATAACCCTTGGCCTGAAGGCGGTGACTACGCCGCCCAGAGCGTTTAAGACACGTGTCGACTGGAGGCTCTACTGTCAACATCTGCAGCAGAGACCTCCAGCACACCAGCCGATAAGCACAGCGGACGACGTAGAGGCCGCTGCAACCAGAATCACTAATAACATCAAGGAGGCCCTTCACGCGGCCTCTACGATCGTCCCGATCACAGCCAGGCGAGACGA